TTGTTCAATATGTGCATTATTTTATATTCTTATATCAAGTGAAGCACTCTTTTTTCCATACCTTCACACAACAGCATAAACAAGGCCCAAGTAGTACAACCAGTGTTAAAATATGCTTTACTTTTATACAAAATTCATACCTAGCTCTAATTTGATCTAGAGAAGAAAGGGCATTCTCTAAATATTCCTTCAGCTCTTCTTCACAGCTTGCCATTTTCATTTTTTCCAAACTTGTATCCAGATCATCTTTCATCACCTAAGGCCACATTAAAAAGCTAATAAAAACAGTTTAGTATATACTAAAATCTCCATAACTATTTAGGATTCAAGTAATTTGATTATGAATGTATATTCCACACCAAGACCTTAGCAAAACTTATCATCTGTGAAGATCTTCCTTGATAATGAACAGCTCTGACACAGCCACCCCAAGCTGGCTGTTGTAGCTATGAGAATTTGGCATCCAACCGGACTCCATACCTGCACAAGATCTCATAATAGCAACTTACAGCCACTTTGTACAGAAAGCAGCAGTGATCTTTAACACTTTTGCCATATCAAGAATAAGACAGGACTGTCCATTCAGTGTGAATCAAGCATTTAGCAAAAATGCACTTGACGGAATGAAACTTAAAAGTAGAAATTCCAATATAAAAGTCAGATATTTCTAGCAGCTGTTTTGAATTCCAGAGGGTTCTTTGTATTAAGAAGACTTTTCTTTACATTATGCCACATCATTGTTTTTATGTTTATATCTGTATTATGTCATCCTGTTCCAATCTGTATTTATCTACTTTTTCCTCAAGTACATCTTCCTGCTGTGACAGTTTGAGTAGATGGACATCCCACAGACCCATGGCCTCCTGAACACAGCTGTACAAGCCTTGACAATGCTGCTCATGCCATCTAGCCATCTCCTTAAAATCGCTCTAAAGAAAAACATTCCAGTGAACAACTCATTTTTAAACTGCTGGAAGGTGAAATGAATGAATAAGAGGATATGTAACATGGGAAAAGGCTGCATGGAACTATACAAATGGTGTTCAATATTGTGTCTTCTATATGGTGACTAAAAAAAAATCCAAGTAAACTGGGTAAGAATGTGGATTTTTATTCTACAAGCTGAGAGTATCAAAACTTCTGTTTATTCTGACATGGCAAAGCACTGAATCATATTCTACAATTTATCTCTTTAGGAACAACTGTGTGGTCATTTTTATGTATAGAATCACAACATTTGGGAGATCATTTAAATCTATTCCTCTGCCTTCAGACAGACTGGGCCATACGTCATTCATACCTATCATATGTATTTCAGATATAAATGATAATAAAAATGCAATATATTACAAACAATAAACACAGTAATTATGAACTCTTTCATGTGAAACTCTTCCACACCAAACCTGGTTTCTTTGTAGTGTTTAGTCACACTATGGAGCTCTTTCTAATGTGACATCAATAGCCTACAATGTAGAAGGCATTGCAGATAGGAGCACAGAAATAACAGACTAATGCCAAGAAGATAAAAGCAAATGTAATTAACATACATCCATGTGCTCCAGTTCTTCTTCAAACCTGTGTTTTAGTTTCTCAGTCATCTGAAGCATGTTGGAATGTACAATTTCAACATCTTCTACTGTGCAAATGTTCTTATCCAACAGGGTCATCTAAATGAAAATAATAGCAAATTATTGACATGCATGACTTTCAGAAAGCATGACTAAACTTAGTGTTTCTTCTCTTGTGATGGACAGAGAAAGACTCAGCCTCCTATATCCCACATTTGTTTACTAAACACTACAATTACACTGGATACAGAAGGAGAAACTGAGACAGAGAGCAAGACAGATTTGCCAAGATAGATTTAGCACAAAGGCTGAAGGTCCTTACATTCTCCACATAAACACAGGACAGAACCCCCTTCATTACTGGCATTTGTTACAGCTTTTACACATTTCAAGTACAAATGCCAAACACTACTGTGAAACTAAATGGATGGTTACTTTTTGAACTGAGTAAGACAGAGGTTAAAAACTAATTTCACTTGTTATCTCAGTGTTTGGTGGATCCTCAAACACATTTTACTGTAATGGCACACTGTACCACGGCTATCACACCCAAAACTGGGACACTCACCTT